GGCTGCCCAGGGATGCAGGGGCTCGCGCCCACGGGGGTATCACCCACCCTGCCAGGGCCTGGCTCCAAGATGGGGTCCTGGGTACACCCGTCTGTTTCTGGCACGGGGAGCCGGGCTGCAAGGCCAGGGAGGGAGCACCAGATCAGGGGAAAATGTAGCATCCCTGCAGCCCAGCTTAGCGCTAATTAAATCATTTGCTTTGACATGCGAACATCCTAATCAAATAAACCACGGGGGTATCACCCACCCTGCCAGGGCCTGGCTCCAAGATGGGGTCCTGGGTACACCCGTCTGTTTCTGGCACGGGGAGCCGGGCTGCAAGGCCAGGGAGGGAGCACCAGATCAGGGGAAAATGTAGCATCCCTGCAGCCCAGCTTAGCGCTAATTAAATCATTTGCTTTGACATGCGAACATCCTAATCAAATAAAAACTAATGGGATGGAAAGATTTATAAATTGGTCTTGTATTACTGGAGTAAACTATCAAATCCATTGCAGGCAGATTCACAGCACTGTGGGTCTCCTGGCGGGAGCGGGCAGGGAGAGGGCAGGGAGTGCCAGCAGGCAGGACACGGCCAGGAACCCACAGGCACCGACTGGCACCAGCACCTGTGCCGGGGAGCGGGCTGCTGCCACGACGGCTCTGGGCACGCAGGAGCCCTCCGGCAGCAGTGCCACGGCGAGCAGGGCGCCTGCCTTGTACAGCCCTCCTGCCCCTCGGGGAGAGGCATGGGCTGAAGGGCACCTTCCACTGCCCTTTCGTTCACGGCTCAGGAGCATTTGTCACTTCTCCCACTCGGCAGCGCAAGCTGGTGGCTCGTGTTCGTCAAGGGGCCGATTTGGACTCAGCTGCGCAGCCGAACACAGGCTGAGAGGCACAGTCAGGCGCTGCCTGGGGACAGTTTTATGAGGAACTGTGAAAAGTGCCCCCCGGAGTGTTTCATTTTAAAGCAGCCCCTATGTTTTAACGCGAGGTGCCCACACAGAGTCCTGCCCTGCAGGGCACAGGCACCCCAGGGAGCAGGAGGGGTGTCCCCATGTCAGCCTGCACCCTGCCGGGGGCTCTTTCAAGAGGAAGGGGTGAGCTCAGCCACGTCGCTCCCCCCATGGACCCGGGGACACGCTTCAGTGCCCACCGAGCGTG